ATTATCACAGCACGTTGAATAACCCTCATAAACCAAGTTACAACGAAACCCACGAGTTTAAAATTTTGGGATAAAATATTTTAATAACGCCGAAACTGACCATGTATGGCAATGAATATGCTGGTTTTTCAGAGAGGAACAAACGTTCTGGTTCATGGTGCCTCCGGCGGTGTGGGTCTGGCAGCTGTGCAGATGGCAGCTCATTCGGGAGCTATTGTTGTTGGAACAGCTGGCACAGCAGAAGGGCTCGAAATTGTGAGGAAGAACGGAGCTACTGAAGTCTTCAACCACAGAGCTTCTGGTTACGCAGTTGAAATAAAGGAGAAGTTTCCAAATGGTCAGTACAAAGGAGTTTCCTCTTTCTGTCGACACTAGCAGTCTTTCTGCAAGAATCTGCGTTTTACTATTACAGGTCTTGACCTCATATTAGAGATGGCAGCTCATCAGAATCTGCGAACTGATCTTGATTTGCTGGCACGAAATGGCAAAGTTGCAGTCATAGGCAGTCGCGGTGAAATTATGATTGACCCGAGGGCTCTTATGACGAAGGAGTCCAGTGTTTTCGGTAAAGATGTAAAGATAATTTGCAAGCGGAAAAATTATGTTATGTGAAATGTTCAGGTGTGACGCTAGCAAATTCCACTGATGCAGATTTAATGACGTCGTCGGCCTTCATCTCGGAATTTCTTGCTTCTTCCAAATACCGTCCTGTAATTAACCGAACATACCCGTTGAGCGAGATTGAAAAGGCGCACAGGGACGTTATGGCGGGAGCCGGTGCTAGAGGAAAATTGATTCTGTCTATCGATGATCAATGATTGTTTTGTATTCGCAAGTGAAACAGAGAACCCGGGAATTTTAGAGACCTCTACGAAAAGCAAAACTGTTCGGCTTTGCTCGAATAGATTTGAGCGAAAATAACTACCAGGTAAAGGTGCTACTGACAATAAGAATCACATTAAATCAGAGTCAAGCATCGATACCTTGAAATTGAGAATTTTGTTTTGTATTGGAACACACATTCAGTTGGAAATAAGATTTTTCAATAATGAAGCAGCAATCCAAAAAGAT